ACACACACACACACACACACACACACACACACACACACACACACACACAGAGGAATATTAGTCAACCATAGAAAAGAAGAAAATTCTGCTATTTGTGACAACATGGATGAACCTTGATGGCATTATGCTAAGTGAAATAAGTCAGAGAAAGATAAATACTCTGATACTCTATATGTGGAATTTAAAACAAAAACAAAGTCCCATAAAAACAGCAGATTGGTGACTGCTAGGGGCTAAGGGTAGGTGAGGAGGAGTGGGGTGAAGGTGGTCAAAGAGCACAAAGTTCCAGTTATAAGATATTTAAGTTCTGGAGTCAAAATGAACAGCATGGTGACTAGGCCTAACAATCCTGTATTGTATATTTGAAAGTTGCTGAGAGAGTAGATCTTAAAAGTTCTTACCACCAAACTAACAAACAAAAGAATTATACCTCTGTGAGGTGATGAATGTGTTAACTATCCTTATTGTGGCAATTACTTCACTATATATTTGACATATGCATATATCAAATCACTGTACAGTACACCTTAAACTCATACAACATTACATGCCAATTATATCTTAAAGATAAAAAAATCAAAAAATTTTATATGAATGGAATCATATATGTTCTTTTTTTGACAGCTTCTTTTGCTCAGCATAATTTTTTTTATTTTGAGATTTATTTATGTTTTTGCATCTACTGATGGTTCGTTTATTTTTATTGTTGAGTAGCCTTCTATTGTATGGATATTGCACAATTTGTTTACTAATTTGTTGGACATTTGAGTTTTTCCAGTTTATGGCTATTGCAAAGAGCTGTGCCAAATATGTGTGTACAAGATTTTACATGGATATATGCTTTTATTTCCTTAGTAAATATCTAGAATTGGACTTGCTGGATCCTACAGTAAATTTATATTTAACTTTTTAGGAAACTGCTAAATGCTTTCCAAAGTTGTTGTACAATTTTACGTTCCACTTACGTTAGATGCCCACATACATTTAGAGCAGACAGATATGATGTTACTGTTGAACCATTTCTAAGTCTACTCAATGATCTTCACACCTGTGCACTTTGTCACAAAGTGTAACTAGCTCAAAGCAACACATTCCCACTGCTAGATGGCTGGAGTTCTCATCTTTGAGTTGCTGATGGGAAAAGTACTTGTTTTTGAGGGGAAAGTCTCTGAAGACAAGTGTATAAAAGGCAGAAGGAGTAGGTCTAACTGAGACCATTCTCAGAAAATGAGATTTTAAAAAACTTTCTATTATGAAAAATTTCAAATATATATTAAGTTATATAAATAGTATAATGAATACCTATGTACCCATCACTCAGTTTCAATAACTATCAATTCATTGCCAGTCTTACTTCACTTAAACTTCCTCTTCCCCTTTTCTTAAAAAAATTTTTTTAAAGATTTTATTTATTTATTTGACAGAGATCACAAGTAGGCAGAGAGGCAGGCAGAGAGAAATGGGGGGGGAGAAGCAGGCTCCCCGCTGAGAGAGAGCAGAGAGCCCGATGCGGGACTCGATCCCAGGACCCTGAGATCATGACCTGAGCCGAAGGCAGAGGCTTAACCCACTGAGCCACCCAGGCACCCTCCTCTTCCCCTTTTAAGCAAATTTCTCACATTATATAATTTTATCTGTTTAATATATACCTTTAAAGGATATTATTTAAACACATAACCACAATACTTTTAGCACTTAAAAATTAAAAGTAAATCCTTAGTGTCATTCAATATTTGAGATTTTAGTGTTGAATGCATAATGGGATGGGGGAGAACCAAACAGAGGAAGAGTGAAAAAAAAATTAAAACCTGCTTTTATTTCTAGTCAAACGCAGATTCATACTGAGTAGCTGAGCTCTTTGTGATGGTCTCTCTGGGGCTATAAAACCGTTTCTTCTCAATCTTATTCCTATTTCTTTCTCCTTCTCTTCAATGTGAACACAAGGCTATCCTCATTATTCAGATCAAACCTCAATGATGAATTCTATTGGTCCCACCTTCCTTTTTGGATAATCTATGTGGCCAGCATTAAATTTGAGTCCATATTTGGCACTATTTCATCAGCTCCAGTGGGAGAGAAAATGGGGAAGGTAAAAGAATAAATTATTATTTATAAATAGAGATTTATTTATAATTTATTTATTTGTTATAAATTATTAAATTAATTATTTCTTTCAAAGCTGTGGGAAAATATTACAGGGGAACTTCAACCTACTCCATCTCTGTTGCCTGGATAACGGAGAATTACCCATGATTTCTAGTGATGTGACTTGCCTCTATTATGAGACCATGAGTCCCCCAGGGCCAGATCTTTCTGCTCAGATTAAGCCACCAGAAAGGAAAATTACCTCTATGAGACCAAATTCCATAGGGCAGAGCTTCCCCTTCAGTGTGAGGCCTGTAGGGGCAGGACACAGTCTGCTCTTTCCTCATTCCCAGAACTTTTCCTGCTATCCCAAGGCTTTCTAAGCCCTTGCAGATGTTCTGTGCTCTTATTGTGATGGAGTTTATTGGTATGTAGTCTCTAACACTTCATCTTGCTTCTTTTCTACAGTTAGAAACAAATAAGAAATTGGTTGTGGCTACAAACCCCCAGGTTGCTTGTTTATTATCAGAGCCAGTCAGATCCAAGAAGAGCAGACAGCATTCCATTTCACAAATGTAGTACCAGTAAACACTCAGAGATACTCAATTTTGTCACTGCTGACAAAACTAACAGAGAACTACTAAGGATGTCCCTGTCACAGGAGAGCTCCCAGGTTTCACAGGCAGCTGTAAACAAAAAGTATTCCTTGGTCCTTTGACCTTCACATCTACACTTTTCATTGTTCCTTACCCCCAAAATATATTCTAGATGTCTGGCACCACTCAAATTTCAAACACTCTGCTTCTTTACTCAATAGACACACTCTTACTTAATAGTGTGGGATTTAGAAAGCAGTGTCACTGTGAGCTCTGGTCCCTGGGGAGAGAGAGGGGATCAAACTCCAGCTCAGTTGTGGGCTCATCAGGAAGCAATTTTGCTAAATATGCTTTTTGTATCTGCCAGATTTTCCCCTAAGAAACATTTCCAAAAATGAAGAAAATGAAGTGTTTAAACCAGGTAAGATTTGTGCTGTAGCTTCAAGAACTGAGAGTGCGTTACATTTAATTACATTAACAATCTCCTGGCAATAAATACCATATAAACAAAACTACAGCGCTGACAAGAACCTAGCTAATTCAAAAACATTTCCTCATTTAGTAACCATTCAAAAGGTACTTCCTGAGCATTATTTTGTGCAAGGCACTTCCAAGAATATAGAGATGAATATGACCTAATTTCTACCTTAGAGGTTCATAATTTGGTAGCTCAGATATTCATTCATTTTATTCATGAACTCAACAAAGAATAGTAAAGCTCTGTTATGTATCAGGCATAGTTCTAGGGACTGAAGATGAAGTAGTAAAAACAAAAAAAAAGGACAACGTCTTTACTCTCAAAGAGTTTACACTGCTGTGGAGATAGGTGACCAAGAGATAGGCAGTAAAAAAAAAAAATTAACTAGTGCTAAGTGCTATGATGAAAATAAAACAGGTTAACAGAATAAAGAAGGTCTTGGTGGGAGTGACTACTTTAGACAGAAAAGAGGCTTCTTTGAAAAGGTGGCATTGAACGATGAAAAAGAAGCAAGCCATGCAAAGATCTGGGGCAGGCCTTGACATGAAGGGTAAAAGTCTTAAGATAGTAAAAGGTTTGTTTTTTCACTTGATTTGTAGTTTTCCTGGGTATAGATTTCTGGGTCAAAATAACTTTCATTAAGACCTTTGAAGGGATGATCCTACTAATTTCTAGGACCCAGTTGTATGGGTAGGAAATCTGGTACCAACCTAATTCTCAATTTTTGGTTGGTATCTTATTCTTATTCTTGTGAAAATTTTGAGGGACTTCTCTATACCCTTGAAGCTCTAAAATTCATGATGCTTATTGGACACTTTAGATCTGAAACTCATATCCTTTTTGAATTCTAGGAAATATTCTTTTATTATTTCTTGACAATGTTGTCCCCTCCATTTTCTCTTCCTGATACTCCTGGTAGATGAATTTGGGGGCTACTGGTTTGGCTCTCTATTAAAAAGAAGTATTTATCTCATACATTTTATCTCTTTACCTTTTTATTAGAGAGTTATTTGACTCTTTATTTCAGTCCTTTTATTAGCTTTTTAAATTTCAGCTATTTTTACTTCTCGAAATTCTTTTCTATTGCTCTTAGATTGCTTTTTTCTTTTTCCATTTTTTAGCAACCCTATTCTTACTTTATTTATGTAATTGTGTCTTCTAAGAATAGTAATAAGAATTTTTGGAAGTTCTTTTCCTTTCTCTGAATTGTGTCTTTTCTGGGGTCAGTTATTCATTTGATTTGGTTTCTTTTGGTCAATTTTGTTTCCCCAGTAGGCCACTCTCCTGAATGGGAACATGGAAGCATGTGTTTTGTGTAGGTAGGCAGTATGTGTTATTGACGGAGCTCACCTTCAGGTGCACAAGGAGCATGCAAGCACATTTAAGCCCCATAACTACCTACCTACCAACCTGCCTGCCTACATGAGTTATGCTATTTATTTATTTGAGAGAGAACAAGAGAGTGTGTACGCATGTGTTGGAGAGGAGCAAAGGGAGAGAGAGAGAATCCCAAGCAGACTCCCTGCTAAGTGAGAAGCCTGCTGCAGAGCTTGATCCCAGGATCCATGAGATCATGACCTGAGCCAAAATCACAACCAGCTAAGCCACCCAGGTACCCTGCCCCTTGAATTTAAAATAAGTTTTACTCTAAAGTGATGTGATACCCACATTAGAGGCACTAGCACTCTGAGAAAGGTTGTTAAATTTCCTTAGAAAGCAGTTCTCTTGTCTGAGACTGGAAGGCAAATACATTTGTTATTGCTATATACATGCTATAGGGGTGGCAGGGTGGTACAGAGGGCCAATTGTTGCCCACGTTGTTTTATGGGCAGTTTTGAAATTAACTATCCCAATCATTATCCCACCTACCACTTCTGTTCTCCATACCTGCTGATGCTAGCTTGGAGCTATTACCAAGCTCTATCAAGAAGAATGCATTTGCATTGAAGCTTTCACTACTCTGGTTTATCTATCAATATCATCGATCTACTTTCTGCCTTCCAAAAACTCAACACCTTGGGTCTGCTGATGGTTCATCCCCTGTCAGGGCTGTTAGGTATTTACTTCCCATTTGTACTTCTTTACAGTCATTTCATTAAGCATCTCAATGTTCTTCTTAAACTGGATGCCCAAAACAGAATGCAGTAGGCCAGATAATATTTCATACTTTCTGAAGGAAAGATTGCATGAATGACCATAGAAATATAGGAATTTATAGCAACTACTCTGCCAGCTTAGCTGCCCCCAGCATTTCCACTGACTCTCTGTTGCCTCTATCTTGTGAGAACCTGAGCAGAGAACTACATTCTCTCTCTCTGGAGACCCTCACCGCAGGTACCTCAATACTCCTGCTCTAATCTGCACTGGAGTTCTCTAGGCTTGCTATTCACCTATCTTCCTAGGACTCCCTTTCACTTGTCCCCATGTTTTCGGGTTTCTATAATCTTTTTTCTTCGTTTACTTTCTTGTTTTGCTTAAGTATACATACTAGGAGCTTCCTAAGAGGAGAGACATAATGAATGAATAAAATTTTTTGAGGCTTTACAATATGGATATTTCTTTATACTTGAATTTTATCAATAGTTTCCCTAGATTTAGAATTACAGGTTACAAGTAATTTTCTCACACACCTTTGAAGGCACTGAGATTTATCTTCTGCTGTTGCTGTTGAGAAGGTTAATGGTATTCTAATTTTTGATCCTGGTATATGACCGTTTATTCTTCTCCAGAAGCTTATGGGGTTTGCTTTTTAGTTTTAAAATTTCTTCATATGTGGCAATCTGCCTTTTAAACAGGATTTGTTCCTCTAACAGATGTCAAGTATTGTCACTGACCTTCAGATAGGTAAATAAGTAGGTGAACCTTCCTGGGCATATGGGAGACATCTTGTTTTGAAAATAAGTCTAGGCTAAATGACCTAACTTAGTACCTAAAAATACATGTTCCTAATACTGTCAGAGGCGTATTTACCTATGTCATCTTCCTGAATTCTCAAATGTGATTGTCTTCCTCACCAAGAAAACAAGAAATGTCATTTTGTTTCGATTGCTGAAAGCTATGCAGACAATAGAAAGAAAAAGAGTGTATACTAGCTTCTGGTCTCAAAGCTGAATGAACTTTCCTCATTTTCTAAAACCCCATTTACTAAATCCAGGGGATTTAGGGAAAAAAAAAACAGTGATATTTCCCATAATTAATAAGGGAGAAGAGGCAGTTTATCACTCAGATATTAATGAGAGATATACAGAAAGAAAAGACATTTTTGAATTTTCAGTCTAAGCAATAGAGTAAAAATAAAAATGAAAAGTCATTGAATTAAGTATAGGCACCACTGAAATTGCTGTTATGCAAACAAGTCTATATCTAATAAGAATGAAGGTAACCTGTATAGGGTAGCACAGAAATAAATCTTTAAGTTTCTGTTACCAAAGCTATTATTGTCTGTTGAGTGCTTTTCAAATTTCATTTCTTAGCAGCAGAATCTATATTCCAACTGAAATTTTATAGAACAGATAAATATCAAGCTGCTCTTCTTAAAGTAGAATATCAGGATGAGGGGGCCAGAACAAAACTCACCTGATCTTTTCAATCCTCCCTAGGACAGACCTTAGACTCCTCTAAGGAAACAGTTTGAAAATCATCCAGTGTTAAGTAAGGTGTTCTATTAGTCTAAGTAAAGTTTTCTTAAAGTGCTCATGAGTAATACAGGCTATGAGGAGATAAAAATGTGTCAGTGTCTAAAGCAGGGTCCTTGATCCATCCCAGAATCACTAATCAGAGCACGAAATCTTAAACAAATTGTGACTGTTGTCTACAACAGAGGTGTAAACTAGAGAGACTCCCTTGTCAACCAGCTCTGTTCTTTTCTGCTTCTGGTATTAGGAAATAGCATACCCAAAACTGCTTGAGTTTTTCAAACAACTAAAATCAGTGGGAAATGCCAGCTACTGCCATGAAAGGAAGGAAAGCATGTCTATTTGTAAAGAAGCAAAAAAATGTCTTTAACTTACCCAGAGCACAAGGACATTCAAGAGATGGTCCATGTGTGTCCGCTTAAAGGTAGACTTTCCACAGTTCTGCATTAATTTGGTGTCTGGTCCTAAGTGAAACAGGGAGACCAGCTCTTAGAATCATTGAATATACTCAGAGGATTGAAAATGGATTGAAATATACATTTATGATCACCTAATCAAACCTCTCACCAATGGCAGGGGATAATATAGGTTTGGAGAAATGCTTGCAGTTGGTGCCAATAACTAAAAAAAATGCACATTTTGTTTCTAAGGATAATCCCAACTACTTCTGCAAAATACATCAATGTTGACCCCTTTTTTTGCAGCACCTTAGGCAGTCTAATCTTCCATAGATGGGTTAAGTCAGAATAGGAGCCCCAGGTTTTTTTGTTTTTTAAGTTTTAATTTTAATTCCAATAACTTAACAAGCAGTGTTATATTAATTTCGGGTGTACAATACAGTAATTCAACACCAGGAGCCACAAACTTATCATCATCATCGTCTGGTTTATTTAGCTTAGAAAAGAGATTTTTTGATAAGGAGCTCTCCACCTTCTTTTGATGAAACCCTCTACTGGGCCAGGCTCTATTTCAAGTTTCTAATTGGGAAAGGAAGAACAGAAAAGGCAATGGCAGTGATTTCTTCTGAGGTGGAAGCTGGGGCTTTTCTGGGGCTGAGAAAGACTGTATTTCTTCACAATAGGCAGATGGTAAGTATAAGTAAAGAGTTTTAGTGGCCAATGGGACTACAGTTGGGTATTACTGACCAGAAATATGGCTGCACATAAAATGTAAGAGGTTTAGAAGAAAGTATAAGCAGCAATTTCTCTGTTTTTTACCACCTGATTGTTATTTTTACATGTACTCTAATAAAGGAATTTCATTAATGTTTATAGATGAGGGAGCTGGAACTTCCCTAATAATGTGGGCAGACACTGAGAATACAGGGCATAAGCTATGGCATTTCATGAAGGGCCTAAAGTCATGAGAAGTTTGTCTCAGAGCCTGGAAGCTATAAGGAACAGGATCTTCCAAGGGTCCTTAGAAAGAATGACCCTACCTCATGTTTCAAGAAGGATGTGGAGATCACGGTAGAACCTGGGAATCATGTAGCAGGAACAGCAACTAAATTCTGCACTGAATACTTCAAGATGGTTTTTTTTTCCTTTTTTTAAAAGATTTTCTTTATTTATTTGACAGAGACAGAGAGAGAGAAATCACAAGTAGGCAGAGAAGCAGGCAGAAGAGGAGGGAGAAGCAGGCCCCCTGCTGAACAGAAAGCCCGATGCGGGGCTCGATGTGGGGCTCAATCCCAGGACTCTGAGATCATGACCTGAGCCAAATGCAGAGGCCCAACCCACTGAGCCACCCAGGCACCCCTTCAAGATGTTCTTAAGTGTTATCAGTTCTCCTTTGCTCTCAGTTTCCCAAAGCTCCAAGAGACTTTTCACTAACATTTAAACGAAGAGTCAATTTTTGGTTTGCGCTAAATTTGTGTTGGCTGGCAACCTCACTGCCATTGCTTTAGAGAGAAACCCTTTGCTGAAAAAATGAGCTTTTTCTGAATGGCGATGTGTAGGAGTAGCTGCTGAAGTACAGTGAAGAAAATAAGTGTACTTCAAATCTTTTGAGTTTGGAGTTAGTCAGCCTAGAAGCTGTCACTATAACTCAAGAACTAATGAAAAAAGTTCCACCAAGGCCTCCCTAGACTCTCAAGCTTCTCTCTAGGGTTTGGATCTCATTATTTTCTGTAAAAGTGAGACATCTAAGATCCCCCTGTCTAAGGGTGAATTCTTTAGAAGGGGAGCTATGAGTTGAATATTCACCGTGGTAAATCTTCCTTGATGCTTTCTTCAGTGTTCACCATACTTTTACTATGGTTGTTGTCATCAATGCCCATTGTCACCAATGCCCATTATCCCTAAGGGCACAGGGTGGCGCAGAAGCTTCCTCCATCTTCCCAAACACATTAAAATCCACCAGAAAACCTTCACCAGGTATAAGGGATTATGGTTCTAAATGACATCTGAGGAGGGGCCACTGCTAATGATTCACATGTGCCTTTTCTGTGGCTTGAATCCTCACATTTTGTATTCTTCTCCATAGTGAGCACCATGTGTATTCTCTCCTGGGAGTAATCCACATATATACACTCTTCTTTCATATGTTCCCCTCTCACATGGTAATTCCATGTGTACTCTTTCTATATGTTAACCTTCTCCTGTGTCCAGATATGATTAGAAAGACTCATAAGTGCTTTATGGTATTAGAACACAAAGACTTCCTTTAAAAAGGCCGAGCTGATAATGTTGGCAGCTCATTTCTTGGGGGGGAGGGGGGTGCCTTTTTTTTTTCTTTTTCTAAGAAGAAAGGTTTTTCTTAAATATTCCATCCACTCATCTACCCATTTATCTACCTCCCTTTGTTTGTCTCAAAGCCATGGTGTATGTACATCTGAGTCCCATATTTACATCCTGGAAACTGAGTGCTCATAAATTGATCATGAATGGAGTATAGCAGTTTGGGGTCTGACTGTGACTCTCAGGAGACATACCAGTGTAAATCACCAAGCCATAGCACCAATCTGTATTCCTGATGATGCAGCCTCGGAGTAGCAGCTTGTCATGGTCCAGGGTGTAGTTTTTTCCCTTAAAAGTCAGTATTCCTGTGAATTTGTCCAACTTGTTATTGGGAGACTCACACCTCACTTTTCCTGAAGAAAAATGAAGGAGTAAGAGTCCAGGCTCTGTAATCTTAGGCCTTTCCTAACAGCAGGCTTAATAGAAAAGAGGAAAGAATACCTCTCTTTCAAAATACATACACATCTTTTTCCTATCCTCTCTCAGCTGCTGCCCACTTCTCACTAACTTCCTTTAGAAAGGCAGACAAAGATTTCTGGGCACCAAAGATGAGTAATTCTGTATGTGACATGGGTCATCCAGAGAGAGAAAAACCCACGTGAGAACTTATCACCATCAGTACTGACAGATCATATGATCTCTGAATCTGAGGAAATTAAGAACTACTTAAAGCAAATCTAGTATTTTTCTCAAAGTGGAAATAATTTGGTTTTTTTCCTGATTACTGAAGTAATATATGTTTTTTGTAAATACATATACAATACTAAGGAGGAGAAAGGAGAAAGTAAAATTGCCTGGAGATAAGTGCTATTATTCTTTTGAAGTACTTCCTTCCAAGTTTTCTATAGATGTACTTGTAAACATATATGCTTCCAAAAACAAGCTTATGTTATTTATTTATTTAAGATTTTATTTTTTTACTTGACAGACAGAGATCACAAGTAGGCAGAGAGGCAGGCAGAGAGAGAGACAGAGGAGGAAGCAGTCTCCCTGCTGAGCAGAGAGCCCCGATGTGATGCCATGCGATGCGGGGCTCAATCCCAGGACCCTGAGATCATGACCTGGGCTGAAGGCAGAGGCTTCAACCCACTGAGCCACCCAGGCGCCCCAACAAGCTTATGTTATATACACTATGCAGAGTTGACTCTTTAATAGTTTTTTTTTTTCACTTAATGATATGTTCTGAATATTTTTTTCCATGTAAAAAATATCAACTTGCATATTGTTCTTAGTAAGTTATGAAGTTAGTTAAGTTACTGTACTTTATTTAACCAGTCCTCTACTGATAAACATGTTGGGGGGGCAAACCTACTTCCTAACTCACCATCAAAAGCAGACAGCAGCCCCAGGTTATCTTCCAAGTTACTGGTAACTGAGATGGACTGCTTCACTTTCAGGTTGGTTTCACTAAAGCAAATGGCACAGAGTCACCAGAGCACAGGACACATGCACAACAGCAGCAGGGGTCCAGTTTCTCCCACTTGGTCATGGGATTTTAGAATACAGATACTGCTAGTAAAGCTTGGGCTACAGGTTTGAGCTGTGAGAGTCACATCTACTGTTCTCTCTCAAGGTCAGTATTGAGGTAGATGGCTCCACAAGGAAGCCAAGAGTTAGCCCACTCAGTCCCCTCTCCCTGCTCTCATTCCCTGCAACACACCACCTCTACTTCAACCAATCCATGAAATCTTGCTGGTCAGGTGCTCTTGATCAAACTGAAGAGACATCACAAAACAACCTGAAGGTGGCACCTGCTCCCTTCAAGAATAAGGAGCAGGTCTTGGTAAGACTGCTGCACACTTCCAAGTAAACATACTCCTCATATCATAAATAGTTATAGGACACACGAAGGAATCCCAGTTAACCACTTGTTGATACAGGAATGCATACAGACAGAAACAAAAATGGAAGCCACATTTCAAAAAGCTTGTGAGCACCAAGAGGAATAGTTGTAAGAATGCAATCGATAGAAAACCCTATAGGACAAGCTCTCTGAAGATGGCCTCTATCTTCCTAAGACCTTAGCTTTTGCATGTTAATTAATCTCTACCTTAAATCCTTTATAGAACACGGTATTTTATCAGTAAATAATTGCTCCCATGCTCATCCTCCCCACCCCCTTAACTCCCACTGGAAACTATGGAACTCTTAAAAAAAATTTCTGAAATTTTACAGTTCTATTCACCTCTTTCCTATCACTCAGCATTACTGAATATAGCCAGAGTGTCTCCAGTTTAGAGATGGAGAATATAGAGTTTATTTGTTCAGATTCTGCACCCAGTGGATGCTTGATTATTGCTGTTAGGAGCTCAGTCTTAGACTTGAGGTCCCAAGGGCCTGGCCTTCTCTTTTCGCTTATCTGGATATTTCTAGCATCTTTGGCATTTCCATCTGAGAATAAAATTCATTCTCTGCATCATGCTCTCCCTCAGTGAGATATTAAGGTGGCTCAATTGTCTTAAATGACTATCAGGAAGGGACACTTACCCATCCAGTTCTGCTGTTTCTATATATGTCAGACCATAGGGCTCACTGCTAGAGAGTAATAGCACATCAGCCTGTGGTCAGAAAAGTCAGAGAAGGTAAGGAAAGCAGGAAGGCAGACTTTTAATATTACAGTGTGACAAAAGCAATTACCTCATGAACAGGTATTCATCCTAAAAATTTTATAGATACTTGGTTTTTTCTCTTTGTCTAGGACCCTCTGCTGCTACCACATACAGCACCCCCCCGCCGCCACCCCCCAAACAAGTCATTCTTTATCTATAGCTATGGTGAGAGACAGACAAAATCAAGCTTCTTACCACAGGAGCTGTTAATCTCTGTGCAAAGTGAGGCAGAGAGAGGTCACCAAAAGCAGTGGCCACAGCAGTGCTAAAAGTGTTCCTTTGTACTCACTCAAGTCAAAAAAGAAAAAGCCACAGCCTAAAGAGGTACTCACCGTGACAGGCTGATTATTTTTTAGTTTTATTATATCTCCCACTTGAATATTCATCCATTTGTCTTCCTTTATCCTGTAAGAAAATGAGCCCTGAATGCCTGCTCTGAGAATTTCTCCACAGCCCTTCTTTGACAATCAAGAAAAGAAATAAAAAAGAGAAAGAAAAAGGCTGAGATGGAGTAAAGACTTACAGGAGAACCAAACTGGTTTGTGATGAATCCTTGCAATAATCAAGAATGGGGCCCATTTCTCTTGACTTCAGGTCATAACGATTTTCTAAAACTCTATAAAAGCACTTGTAGTCATATGCACACATAATTATTCTTTCACTAAAAGGAATATGCATACTGTAAATATGCATATATGCATATGGTAAAAAATAGTTCAACTAATACAGAAGTATATAAAAGGAAAAATTCTCCTCTCTCCCCTGATTTAAGTTCTGCTTTTCAAGGTAGCAACTGTAATTTTTTGTATTCCTTTCTAGAAAATATCAATCCAGTAATACAACACATACATTTAAAAGTTACACACTAGATACATAATTTGCTACACTTTGCATTTTTTATGTCTTGCAGAGCACTTATAGAAGATGTGCCTCACTATTTTTTTTGGCTCACTATTTTTGATAAAAATGTATTCTATCATACAGCTGTACCAATTTTATTTACTTATGTTAAAACTGGATTGTTTTATTTTTTATTTTTTTTAAAGATTTTATTTATTTATTTAACACACAGAGAGAGGAATCACAAGTAGGCAAGAGAGGCAGGCAGAGAGAGAGTGGGAAGCAGGCTCTCTGCTGAGCAGAGAGCCCGACGCAGGACTCCATCCCAGGACGCTGAGATCATGACCTGAGCCAAAGGCAGAGGCTTAACCCACTGAGCCACCCAGGAGCCCTATTTTAAAAAAAAATTTTTTAAAGATTTTATTTATTTATTTGACAGAGAGAGACAGCAGGAGAGGGAACACAAGCAGGGGAAGTGGGAGAGGGAGAAGCAGGCCTCCCACTGAGCAGGGAGCCTGATGTGGACCCTGGGATCACGACCTGAGCTGAAGGCAGCTGCTTAACAACTGAGCCACCCAGGCACCCCTGGATTACTTTTTTAAAAAAATTCAAGTTAGTTAACATATAGTGTATTATTAGTTTCAGGGTAGAGTTTAGTGATTCATCAGTTGCATATAATGCTCAGGGCTCATTATATCAACTTTCCTTAAAATTGGATTACTTTTGACCCCTCAAATCCTCATTTCCTACAAAAGGCAGATGGCAGTAGGAGCAGATTCTACAGTAGTAACTGGCTCTCTCCCTTTCCTTTTTTTGTATCTCAATTTCCCTAAATGCACAGAGGCCCTAAATCTTTCTGAGAAAGAACTAGGCAAGATAGACACAGTGCCGTGAGCATTTTGGAAATACGAGCTACCTCTTTGCAACAATTCTGTTATGCTAAGCACCCAAAGATGTGGCAAAGAGAAGGCATACCTGGATGCCATTGCTTGTTTTACCTTCAAATGAAGCCTTGTTATCTGTAGGCATGACATACATCACAACTTTGCCAGACACACAAAGGCATGGGTTTTCTCAGAATGCCTTTTCTGGGAAGATAACTTCTTTAAGAAGGGCCAAATTTCTTTTATCCAAAAAAAAAAAAAAATCTTTTATATAAATTCACTCTTTCTTTTAGACAATTTTCTTCCAATTCCTGGGTTATATTTCTTTAAATCTTTTTACAAATTCAATTTTCTCTGCCTGTTATTATTTTTAACAATATTATTTATTTATTTTTGTGGGGGAAGGGCAGAGGGAGAGGGAGAGAAAGTCTTACGCACTCTCACAACCCTGAGACTGTGAACAGAGCCAAAACCAAGAGCTGGAGGCCCAACCAACTTTGCCACCCCTCTCTGCATGTTACAACACAAATGTAAGACTTTGTTGTAAAACCACTATTTATACATCCTCCTTCCCTTGGTTTCAAGTGTCATCTTTACGCAGATAAAATCCAATACCTTTACTTATTTTGTTACTAATTTTCGAATCTGCTTTATAGTTTTGTAAGGGAGTAGCTACAAGACTTGCAGAAAAACATCTGAATAACTGTTTTGCTTTGTTTTGATGCCACATTCACTTTTGGTAGTTCTCTGGCATTCTGTCTGCCATGATTTTCACCAGTAAAATGTGGCAAGAAGGGCTACACCATTTGGGCTTCTCCAAAAGATTTAACAGCTTATATTTTATTACATAGGAGCTTCAAACTATTACCAATTTTTTTCCTGGACATTATAACAATCATGTGTCCCAAATTTAGGATAAGGAAAAATACTGCCTTCCAGTTTAAAATATTAAATCCTGTTACGCCATAAGAATACTTTCCGGGCATTGCATTCTAACTTTTGGTTTAGAAAACACAACCCGAGAGCTAGAGAAGGCAGGGGTTTGACTCCAGAGGAGACCATTCACATTACAGTCTCTTTTTTTTGTGAATAGTACCTCCTGAAGTTCTGTGACATAATGGTACCTTTTCTACTACCAACATTTAGAAATGCTAGATATGCTAAGGCAAACATTCTTTCAAAAGTAAGGCTACGCTTACCACAAAGTAAGGAACCAGGAGAAACAAAACAAGGATCTCAAATCCAAAACAGTCAGCATGTTCTGAAGCTGTTCTTGCTCTGAGTGAAGGAAGGAATTGCCAATCTTAATAATTAGTGACTTGAATTTTAATTTAGCCCACTGAGGGACAGGACATGAAGCCTTAGGATCTTGAGAGGCAATGAGTTGGAACTAAGAACCCCTCATAAAGCCAGGACTCTGAAAGGGCAACACCTTTAGGGAAAGGGTAGTCTAAAAAAAATTCAAACCACTGGCAAGAAAGTTTGTCTGTCTTACTCTGGAGGATTGAGCGTCAGACAGTAGAGAACTCCCCCTTAAGAATGTATAGACTAATGAGGTATGGGATTCAAATTTATAACTCCTCAAATTGGTCTCAGTAGGTGATATCCTTGAGTTATGTGGCAGAAGCAAACACACAACCCTCAAAAGGGATACAACCTCAACTCAGAAGATTTAGAATTCTTATAAAGAAAATTCCACTAATGATGTACTTGTAACCAAAATTATTGAGAAATGAAAATGGCAGAAATCACAACTTGCAAAACAGACAAATTTTTCAATAGCAGTTCTATTCAAAACTATGTATTCTAGAAAAAGAAAGCCACTTTCTGGAATACAGACTGAACAATCAGCTTCACTGAGTGTTCAATTAAACACTGGCTTATAAAAACTAACCAGGGCCCTACTTGTGACCTCCCACCCTAAAACCACTCTATGACAGATTCTTTTTAGTCTTACTTTTAGTCTTTTTTTTTTTTTTTTTAAGATTCTATTTATTTATTTGACACAGAGAGAGACAGGAAGAGACAGAACACAAGCAGGGGAAGTGGGAGAGAGAGAGAAGCAGGCTTCCTGCTGAGCAGGGAGCCCAATGCAGGGTTGGATCCCAGGACCTGGGGGATCACGACCTGAGCGGAAGGCATACTCTTAATGACTGAGCCACCCAGGTGCCCCTCCAATAGTCTTTCAAAACCCAAGTGCCCAAACTACTTGAGGAGTTCATTTGACTAGATCCATTTGGTCAGTAATTCCCTAGCCCTGAAAATTTCTAAGACACTGAGTTTTGTCTTTTCTTTTCTTTTCTTTTTCTTTTTATTTCCTTTCTTCCTTTCTTTTAAATTTTCTTTTTAATCACAACTGACTTTTCTGGTGGTGTCTTATGAGAGGCTTCAACAGACCAAAACACTTGAGGAAATAATCCACCAGGAATAAGAATGAGCTGTAACAATAAATAACAGGATTAGATACCCAAGAACTTCACGTAGAAGAATTATGTGATTAAAACTACAGCTCCTGGGGGTTCTGTAAGGCCACTGTGAACAAAGACTGGACTTCAATTTTGAAATTCTTCATGTTCGTGCTTATTTACAATCATGTTACTGCACACACTGGTCATTTTTTCCTGTTTTACAATCTCTATTTGTTGAATTCTTCCCATTCCTTAAGGCCTAGCACAGACATTAGCTCTTCCAGAAAGTCTTCCTTGATTCCTTTAACCAGTTATGATTTCTCATTTTTATTAATTCTTATAATAATTTTTGTATCTTTTATGATAGTTTCCATATTTTGTTTTATGTAGGAATTATGTCTGCCTCTGTATATTCCTGACAAAGTAAATTGCTTAAATTTTGTAGGACATCATCAAATATAAACACAGACTCATTGACAACACTTTAGACAGTTATCACCAAACACCACAGCAATAGGGTCAACACCAATACTTTCTTTATTTTTATTATTTTTTTTTTAGCCAATACTTTCTTTAGATTGTTAATGAAGATATGACCTGATCAAAGGTTATATAGTATAATGGCCAATAAGCCATGCCAGAATCTAATTATGTTCTAAAGACACATATCTTCATGCTGACAACTACATTAATAATAATCACTTGTATGTCGTAAATTGCTAAATACCTTAATATATATTATTTCATTTTCATTTTTGCAACATCCTCCAAGGTACAGAATATTATCTTCCTTTATAGATAAGAAATATGAGGCTCAGAGAGATCTGAGGTCACACAGCAAATTCAGTGTACGCTAGATCTAGAAACAAATTCTTATGTTCAACCTTAGGTTCTTTTCACTGTTCTGAATTACCTTTCCAAAGTACCCAACACCATCAAGCTTTAGCAAAGACAACCCTTTCCCAGAACTGAGCTACCTAAACTGGTTTCCCTATGACTTACCTGCCATTCATCACCACCAGAACAGAACGGTTGTTGACGTGATTGTCATTTTGGTGCCTTTTCTAAAATTACACAAGAAAATGTTCAGGAAATAGGCATAGAGCAAACTGCATGTAGAAGGTTAGTATTCTGAAATACTACCCAAGGTAGTACTCCTTATTTATAATTTTCCTTTACCTCCTAAGCCTTTCTATCATTAAAACCAGGGTAAGAGGTTGATTGTCTCAAAGAAGCTGCGAAAAAAGGTCAGAAAAAGAAGAGAAAAGAAAGAGACAAAATCTTGGCTTTAAATATCAAAAGCCAAAGCCTGGGGGAATGAGAACAAACATCTTAGTTAAAGCCACAGAGGAGAGAATGAAAACTGATGGACAGGACCAGAGTCCCTGTGAACACCTTGGTAGGAGCAGGGAAAAGTTAAGAATTCTCAAGCATACCTCCACTACAGTCAACACACAGAAGCTTCTACAGGAGATGCACTAAGGAAAGAGAAACAGAGGTCTTCTATTCAAAAACCAAATAGAAGTGTATGTCCTGATGCTCCCATGAATCTTCTACTTCCAGGTGAGATTACTCCCTGGGAAAAAGGCAGGACTATGAAGAGGACAGGGAGAATCTTGAATTTGTCAGCATGCTTATGCTAAAAAAAGTAAATTCTAACCCAGAAGTAACTGGGTTACCTTGAATTGGCAAGTTTAGTTTTCAGCTCTCATTAAAAAGGTTTGGAATGGTGGGGTGGTAGTTGTGAGATATACTGAGTTTAGCTGTAGAGAAATAAAGTCACATTTTGTACATCTGAATTTTGACTAAAATTTCACTACATGGCTAATTATGGATTTAAAAGAGTTGCAGAGTTAAAAAGCTAGCGTAACATCAAGCTCACAAACTTTGGTCTAAAAATCTATCCTGGCAAAATCAGAAGGACTCTCTTAGGGAAGCTGGAGGCAGGTCAAGAGGTCTGACTTCCCAAATCCCACTAGCAGGCTTGGTACTGGGGCTTCACTCTCACCGTTCTATGCCAGGCCTGCTGTAAGGAGCAAAGAGGATGCCAAGCAGCTCACTGTGAGCCAGTTTCTCCCTCCAAGACCAGGAAAGAAACTGGCCTCTGTTTATGTCCTAAGGAGTTCTAAACCCAGAGGGTTCCTAGCTGTATATACCTTACAGAAGTGAAAATTGGAATGGGAAGTAGGGAGAGCTAGAGAGGAGAAGGGGAATGTGGAAATGGGAGGAGAAAACTAAGAACAGATCAAAGAGGGAGGAGGGGACAGAAGGAGGAAGGGAACAGGAATTAAAAAAGGGAGAAGGAAGAAGATGAGCACAAACTTGAAGAAAGCCAAGTGAGGGAAGAGGTGGGTTATTAAAAAGGAGCTGGAAGAAAGCCTGAAAGGGGGCTAAATGGTGGCAGAGGAAGACAGAGAGAGGTCTTGCACTGCTACTTTCTGGCCATGCATAGACCACCAATCTTGAGGCTAAGGGAATTACATTTTCCTCTGGGATGGATAAGGAAGCAAGGAAAGGAAACATCTCTTTCCATTCAGTGCTTCTTCCTTGCACTAGGTAATTCTGGGAAGCCTTTTTTGCCCCCCAACCCAACTAGGTACAGTGAAGGACTAGGAGCCCAAAAAGCCACTTCACCACATCATCGATGGCATCCTTCACTGCTGTTATGGATAGCACCACCATCAGGGGTATCACAGTCGTGTACCATGCCAAGGGGGAGATCTGGGGAATCAACTGTGAGAGGAAAAAGGAAGAAACTTGGCTCAGAAAGCTTAAAGGACAATATATTTCCTACCAGCACCACCCACCCCCAAACTCTTTCACTTCCACAGGTTCATAAAAAATTCAACTATCCTAGTTGCTTTCCACTGTTTTGGAAATATAAGTATTATAAGTAAATATATAATACAGATATAAATATTTTGTAAACATCACCAAGAAAAAAAAAAGAGGAAAAAAAATCACCAAGAAAGGACAAAAGAATAGGAGACAGTAAGTTGCCAGCTATCTGTCCCAAATCCACTACAATAGTCTTTTTTTTTTTTTCTCCATTACAATAGTCTTGATGGGCTATTTCTCCTCTGATGATGAAGGTTCTGGTGAGAGGTAAGGGGAACTGGGAGAGAAGAGCGGACATTGGAAAACCACATCCCCTCCTTTATCCCTCAACATAAGGGGAAAAGAGACAATCCGTTCCTCTCTCCCAATTTGGTCCAGAACTGCCCTGCTTCCTCGCCCTGTGGTGATACTCGTATGTTCTAAACCATTCTTTTCCTCAGAATTCCTGAATGTTAACTTTCTGTCAGGAAGACTGGGAATGAATGAGAAATGGAGTTGTAGTTGTGGTCGGGGTGAAGAGTATGTGACCTCCTGTGGTCAAGCTGAACTGTGGCCATGCAGGCACATCCTTCCTTGGGATTCAGTGACCTTGTGTCCTTGCTTTTGTAGAGACTTATTTCATCCCACCTAATCCTGACCACAAGTACTCTATAGGATTGCCCAGACACTTTAGGCCATCCATTTGCCTGTTATTTAAAGAGACATTTCTCAGTTTAGGGAGAAGAACTGATTATGTAACCAGATCCCAGAGATAGTGATAAAATGCTCTGTGGAAAAGATCCCAAAAGTTAATACCTGTAGGAATAGCAAAATGAGGAAATATGCATTTGCAAGTCTCTGGAATTGTTCAAACAGGTTCAGGGGCAAGAAGTTAAAGACACTGTATCTTGAGGTCTTGATGGTATTGTTCTGTGAGTAAAAGAAAACAAGCACAATTAGAGGAACAAAAGCCCCCACCTCCCAGTTTTAACAAAAAGCACCAAGACCACTCCTTGAAACAGAAAAAGTCTTAGTTCTTCTACCATGGGGTGAGGGGGAGGGAGGGAAGAAGTGTTTGTCTCACACTTTTCTTGGAGACCTAGAGAATGCAAGAAGGTAAGTCTGATCAATATGGGACTTTTTTGAGGCATGGAATTCTTTGTTTATTGATGTTATTAATAATAATGATGGGGCGCCTGGGTGGCTCAGTGGGTTAAGCCTCTGCCTTCGGCTCAGGTCATGATCCCAGGGTCCTGGGATGGAGCCCCACATCAGGCTCTCTGCTCAGCAGGGAGCCTGCTTCCCCCTCCCCCTCTGCCTGCCTCTCTGCCTACTTGTGATCTCTGTCAAATAAATAAATAAAATCTTTAAAAAAAAAAAGAAAAAATGATAATAAAATCAACAATAAAAGCTTACATTTATTGAATACTTACTACATGCAAGGCACTGTTCTAAGCATTTTATATGTAGCAGCTTATTTATTCCTCACAATAACCCTATGAGGAGAGGACTGTATGATCACTTTTTGAGGATGAGGAAATTGAGGCACTGAGGTTATTTGCCAAAGATCACACAATCAGTTGCAGAGATGGTACTGTGCTGTCCCCTGAGCCCCAGTTCACTTGTATAGCTATCCAAATGCCTTCTTTTCATAGATTCAGAGATCCTTCAGTGTCATCTTACCTCACCCACTAGTCCTTCTCAGCCCTAAATAGTAGGCAAGTCTGCCATTTATATTAGCTCTACTCCAGAGCTCTCAAATGAAGTTTTTCTAAGCCTGGCAAATTCAGTTTGGTGTACCTTTATGTACTGTTTTCAATGCTGAAGGATATCAGGTGCCAAAAGCAAATTACTCTTTCAAGTTGAGCCCACTGAAGATTCCCATACTGATCCCTGTCAGCATTGGGAAGTCACTTGCCTTTTAACTGTCTTGACAGCCTGAATAGTTTTGGTTTACATGTGAGTTAGGATTTTGCTGAGTGAAAATGGGAACTTGCTACCTCTTCAATTCTGACTTCAAGATGACAGGATCATCTTATTTTCTACCTTTGGGTCTTCGATCATTTGACTTAAGACGTCAGAGCTTGAATGTAAGAGCTCAAGAAAAGCAAAAGAATAACAATTTTAACCAAACAATTTCCTAAAGACAGGCTTCTCCCCTACCTCCTCCATCTAGAAGGCCAAAACAAGAGAAAAAATCCACATGCAGTCCTGGAGTATAAATATTGCTCAAGTATGAAAAATCTTGCTGGACTCTGCCTTGGGAAAGCATCAGAGACCTTCTCTTGGAAAACCATTCAGTCCTAAGTCTAAAACTTGCCCAGGAAGACTAGATAGGCTCTTCGGTCAAGACATGTCTTTCTATTTTCCTAAGGAAGAGAAGGTAGTCATAGACCTTAGGAGTTTAGAGATCCAAGTTACAACTAAGATTTCCTTGGTGTTTTCTCTATGATTTTCTAGTTTGTAATCAATCAAACACTATAGATTTCTCAAGGCTTCTTCTGTTCATAGCCCTATTCTGGGCTATACTAGTAGAGGCTGAAAAAAATTAAACAATATCTATCCCAGAGAAGCTCATAGGTCTGTCTTGAATGAAGTTCTAACTAAATGATTTCTATTAGCCATTCTAACTCTGAGAAAATGTTCTTCTAACATAGAAATAGCTTTCTTTGATCATGAGATACTCTAAATTTTTCAGTGTCTAAGTACAGAAGGTTCTGAAACTTGGAACCAAAGACCTTTTCTGATCTTCAGCCTTACTGAAGTAGCAAGCCTTCACTACTGATTTTCCATTTGATTTTATAACTAATTATCGTATTTCAGGTTTCTACCCACTTAGTAGCATTTGTTTAGTAAACAAAGACAAAAGCCTTGCAGATTCTATATCAAGACAGAAATATCAGTATTTCTTTACTAACTTGGCAACCAGAGTGTTCTGTTCTATGTCAAACCAGAAGGAATATCTAAAGAATGTAGAACATCTGTTTAACTATGAATTTCTTCAGTGTTCAGTTCTTTTTTGGCAGAGGTGACAAAATTTAAGCATGATAGAGGTGGTGGATTTTGGTTTGGGCTGTTTATTTAGGTAGTAAAACCTGACTGTTGGCTAAATGAGGGAATAGAGGAGAACATAAGGCCAAGGCCACAATGGGAATCAGAAGTTAGAGGCTGAGAAGAAGAAAAGGAATACGACTGGAAAAGAGTAGAGAACAGGAGAAAAATCAGTAATTGGCCATGGATATGAAATGGTTGTTAAATACATAAGAAAAGGTAAATTCAGTAAATTTATCAAATGCCATTTTATGTGCCAAATATTGTGATGCAAACTGTGGATACAGAGATGAATGAAACTTGTACTCTTTCCTCAAGAAGCAATAGTTTCTTGCAGAAAGAGAGACAGTATTATTCACAACTATGTCTAACTCCCACAAGCACCATGTAAAGTGAATTAGGCCCTTTTCACAGATGAGGAAACTCAAGAACAGAAAGGTTAAAAAACATAACTAAAGATGCAAAGTTAGTAAGGAGTAGAGCTGTGCTCAAACTCAGGTCTGTCTGATGTCAAAATCTAGTTTTATTGCATTATAATGTCTCTCATAAATGTCTAGAAGATAGAAAGGGGGAAAGAAAATCTGCTCCCATGGCCATACCCTGAACACTGTTATTATCTAGAACCTCTCTAACTCAGAAATCATAAACTAATGTCCTACAGAGACTACAAATATGTATGGCTATATATGTATTTATATACCTACAGCTATAGATAGATAGATAGATAGATAGATAGATAGATAGATAGATAAATAGATAGATATAGCTGTACATGCACAAAATAACATGTATAAAAACATTGCTTGTAACTGTAAATGACTAGAAACAACCCAAATGCCAATTTTGAGAAACTGGTTACATAAACTATGCTAAATCTACATAAGAAATACTATGCAGGTGAAAAAAGAAAAGAAGGAAAAAGTTATTATGAAAACATCTCCAGGATATCTGTAAAGCTTCTGAACAGTTTAAGAAAGCGGCTTTGCTTTATTTACACAAAGAAGCACTGATGAATATACAAGAAAGTAAAATGAATAGTTCTCTACAGGGAGCAGTGGTGGGCAAGGATAAGTGCTGGAATATGAATTTGAAATATATATCTCTTTATGAGTTATTAATAAGTAAGTGAAAAATGAGCAACCTAATAGAAAATGGGCAAAGAGGTAGTTTCCATAAAAAGAAATACAAAAGGTTAATTAGCATGAAAAGATTACTGAACTCACTTGAAATTAAGAAAGGATAGATAACAAAACATCATTTTTCATTCAAGAGCCCAGCAAAGATGAAAAAGATTGATAATACCTAGTCTGGCAGCAATATGGAAAAATGAGCAGTCTCTACTGTAAGTGGAAATATAAGTAGATATAATCTTTTTAGAGGGAAGTCTGGCAATATGCATCACAATTTTTAATGTGTTTTTCCTTTGACCCAGCCAATTCACTTCTAGGAAATTTTCATAAGATATATTCACACAAGGGGTGCCTGGGTAGCTCAGTTGGTTAAGCGTCCAACTCTTGGTCTCTGCTCAGGTCATGATCTCAGGGTCCTGAGATAGAACCCTGCCTTGGGCTCCCCACTCAGCAGGGAGTCTGCTTCCCCTCCTCTCTCCTTCTGCCCCCTCCTCCTGCTCTTGCACTTTCTCTCTCTCTCTAAAACAAAAATGTCTTTTAAAAAAAGATATATTCACACAAATGTGACAAAGTTTATGATTAATGGTGTTCATTCAGAACCCTTTATCATACAAAACACTGGGGACTATTTTTTTAGAGGGGACACCTGGATATGAATGGAGGCATTTTATTTTTTTTAAGGTTTACTTATTTATTTTAGAGAGAGAGAGAGTGTGTGTACATGAGCCAGGGGAGGGGCAGAGAATGAGGGAGAGAGAAAATCTCAAGAAGACTCTGCCCTGATGTGGAGATCAGTCTCACCACCCCAAGATCATGACCTGAGCCAAAACCAAAAGTCAGACACTTAACTGACTGAGCCGCCCAGGCACCCCTGAATGGACACATTTTAAATGTTCATCAATAGGAGACTGGTAAAATAAATTAAGGTATATTGAAAACAGTGAAAAACCATTCCACTGTTAGATCTGTGTATTATTACAGATCTCCAAGTGGAAAAAAAGATTGTTGAACTACGACTTCATTTGTGCAAGAAAAAAACTACAGTATTTCTTTTCTAGAAGTTATATATGAAACCCAAAATCTGAGATATATTCTTTCCTGAGCCTAGGTCACCAGAATTAATTTTGGTTTCTGAGCCCTCACTACACCAGCCCTCATTGTATAGGAGCTTGAAAGAAAGTAGAACCTATGTTGTAGGATCTACATCTGTAATGAATTCCTGCCCTACTCACAAAGGGGAATATTAGAGGAGAAAACTAACCCCCTGAAGTAACTAGAGGCCTGATACTCACGGGATATCCAAAGGTAGAGTTGAGTTCTCTGCTATTAGCTTGCAGATATCTCACTTGTTCTGAAAAAGAGGAAAGAAATGATGAGAAGGATAATCCTCTAATGATCAGCCTGGGATGCTGGCTGCTAGTGAAGACTTCACTAGATCTTCACACTTTCTCGCTGAGGAGGATTATGTCTACAAATGGGGCTTTTGTCTCTATTAGAAGAATCAAGATGGAATAAAAATGGAAATCCTCAAGTGTTAAAGCGTTCTGGAGGCAAAAGGACCAGAAACTTTCGAGGTGTTTTGTACCGTGAATGTCTCTCAGTAATAATCCTAGGTGATGTCTCCACAGACAACAGGATGGCTGTACCAACATCACTGCTAAACACAGAAACCCAGCCCTCTCCAATTAGTCAATCCCAAGACCTTATTTTAAGGTATTTGAGGTTCTTTCCAAGGCAGCTTTTCCTATACTTACTTAATGAAATTTAAATCAATACATCATTATTAGGCAGCTATTGTACAGAGGCCAGTGTGTTTGATCTTGTGGGGGGATAAAAAGATGAGTAAGACACAGTCCCTGACTTCAAGGACCTGCAGTTTGGTAGTAGTGAGCCTGATAACTATAACACATGACAAAACCATCACATCAAAACGCATGTTTTATGAACTATTACAAACAGTGAGCCCAAGGCACCTGGGTGGCTCATCGGTTAAGCAATTGCTTTTAGCTCAGGTCATAATCTCAGGATACTGGGATTGACTCCCACATTGGGCTCCCCCTGCTCTGTGGGGAGCCTGCTTCTCCTCTCCCACTGCCTGGCACTCACCCTGCTTGTGCTCTCTCTGTCAAATAAATATAATCTTAAAAAAAATAGTGACCCCATTATTGTGTTATGAAAAATTTTTTGTGTGTATTTCTATCTTCTGTTTTTATTTTTTTAAACATTTAAAAATTTAAATTAATTTAATTAACATATAATATATTATTGGTTTCAGAGATACAGGCCTATGCTTCATCAGTTTTATATAATACCCAATGCTCATTACATCACATACCCTCCTTAATGTCCATCACCCAGTTACCCCATCTCTCCACATCCCCTCCCTTCCAGCAACCCTCAGCTTTTATCCTATGATTAAGAGTCTCTTATGGTTTGTCTCCTTCTCTGGTTTAGTATTGCTTTCCTTTTTCCTCTCTTCCCCTATGATCCTCTGTTTTGTTTCTTAAATTCCACATACCAGTGAGATCATATGATAATTGTCTTTCTCTGATTGACTATTTCACTTGACATAATACCCTTTAGTTCCATCCACGCCATTGCAAATGGCAAGATTTCATTTTTTGATGGCTGTGTAATATTCCATTGTATGTATATACCACATCTTATTTATCCACTCATCTGTCAGTGGACATCTGGACTCCTTCCATAATTTAGCTATTGTGGACATTGATGCTATAAACATTGGGGTGCAGGTGTCCCTTCTGGTCACAATATTTATATTCTTTGGATAAATACCTAGTAGTGCAATTGCTAGATGGGAGGTTAGTTTATTTTTAACTTTTGGAGGAACCTCCATACTGTTTTCCAGAGTGGCTGCACCAGCTTGCATTCCTACCAACAGTGTAAGAGGGTTCCCCTTTCTCTGCAACCTCACCAATATCCTTTGCCCTGAGTTGTTAATTTTAGCCATGGTGAGGTTGTATCTCATTGTGGTTTTGATTTGTATTTTCCTGATGATGACTGATGTAGAGCATTTTTTCATGTGTCTATTGGCCATCTGTATGTTTTCTTTCGAGAAATGTCTGTTCATCTCTTCCGCCCATTTCTTAACTGGATTTTTTTTTTTTTTTGGCTATTGAGTTTGATAAGTTCTTTATATAGTTAAGTATTAAGTATATGACAAGTCATTTGCAAATATCTCTCCTATCCTACAAGCTGCCTTTTAGTTTTGTTGACTGTTTTCTTTGCTGTGCAAGTTTTTTTTATCCTGATTAAGTTCTAACAGTTCATTTTTGCTTTTTTTCCCCCTTGCCTTTGGAGAGGTGTCTAACAAGAAGTTACTGTGGCTGAGGTCACAGAGGTTGCTGCCTGTGTTCTCCTCCAGGATTTTGATGGTTCCCTGTCTCACATTTAGGTCTTTCATCCATTTTGAGTCTGTTTTTTTGTATGGTATAAGGAAATGGTCCAGTTTCATTCTGCTACATGTGACTGTCCAATTTTCCCAATACCATTTGTTGAAAAGACTGTCTTTTCTCTATGTGAATATTCTTTCTTGCTTTGTTGAAGAAGACTAGTTGACCATAGAGTTGAGGGTCCATTTCTGGGATCTCCATTATGTTTCATTGATCTATGTGTGTGTGTGTTTGTGACAGTACCACATTGTCTTGATGATTACAGCTTTGTAATAGAGCTTGAAGTCTGGAATTGTGAAGCCTCCAGCTTCGGTTTTCTTTTCAACATTCCTTTGGCTATTTGGGGTCTTTTCCAGTTCTATACAAATTTTAGTTTGTTTGGTCCAGATCTGTGAAAAATGCTGATGTTATTTTGATAGGGATTGCACTGAATGTATAGATTGCTTTGGGTAGCATAAACATTTTAACAATATTTGTTCTTCCTAACCATGAGTTTTTCCATTTCTTTATGTCTTCCTCAATTTCATAAGTATTCTATAGTTTTCAAAGTACAGATCCTTTACCTCTTTGGTTAGGTGTATTCCTAGATATCTTATGGGTTTTGGTGCAATTGCAAATGGGATCGATTCCTTGATTTTTCTTTCTTCTGTCTCATTGTTAGTGTATAGAAATCCAACTGACTTCTGTGCATTGATTCTATATCCTGTGACTTTGCTGAATTCCTGTATCAGTTCTAGCAAATTTTTGGTGGCATTTTTTTTGGGTTTTCTATATAGAGTATCATGTCATCTGTGAAACATGAAAATCTGACCTCTTCTTTGCCAATCTGGATGCCTTTTCTTTTTCTTGTCTGATTGCTGAGGCTATGTCTTCCAATACTTGTGCAACAACAGTGGGGAGAGCTGACATCCCTGACATGTTCCCGACCTTGGGGGAAAAGCTCTCAGTTTTTCCCCACTGAGGGTGACATTTGGTGTGGGTCTTTCATATATGGCTTTTATGATATTAACGTATGTTCCCTCTACTCCTGCACAGTGGAGAGTTTTTATCAAGAAAGTATGATATATTTTGTCAAACGCCTTTTCTGCATCTATTGAGAGGATCATATGGTTCTTGTCCTTTCTTTTATTAATGTGGTATATCACATTGATTGATTGATTTGCAAATGTTGAACTACCCCTGCAACCCAAGAATAAATTCCACTTGGTCATGGTGAATAATCCTTTTAATGTACTGTTGGATCCTATTAGCTAGTATCTTGGTAAGAATTTTTGCATCCATGTCTATCAGGGATATTGGTCTGTAATTCTTTTTAGTGGGATCTTTGCTTGGTTTTGTGATCAAGGTAATGCCAGCCTCATAGGATGAGTTTGGACATTTTCTTTCCATTTTTATTTTCTGGAAGAATTTCAGAAGAATAAGCATTAATTCTTCTTTAAATGTTTGGTAGAATTCCTCTGGGAAGCCTGGGAATCTGGCCCAGAACTCTTGTTAAAGGAAACTAGATTCCCCTCCCCCTCCTCAGGAGCTTTGTACTGTCACTTTGCCATCACTCAATAAACCTTACTTTGCTAAAGACAAAACAAAACAACACAAAACTTTGCTTTGCTGCCACAAAAAAAAAAAAAAGAAAGAAAGAGAGAAAGAAAATAGCTTCCAAAATAAGACAGTAAAACTTACATATATATAAAAATAAAATATAATAAATTAAAAGGAAACAAAAATAAAAAATATAACATACATATAAAAATAATAATTAAAAAGGAATAAAAAAGAATTGAATAAATAAGAAAATAACCCCCAAAATAATACTATAAGACTAAAGAATAAAAATAAAAAGAATACCATACACTGTTTTCCCCAGGAGCTGAAACTTTGCAACCTTCTGTGATCAGTAAACTTGGTATGATCCAGTTGTTTGTGCTGGTCTTCTGGCAGAGGGGTCTGTTGCACTGATTCTCAGATGGACTCGCCCTATTGAAAACGTGCCTCCCTTGCACAGAGGCTGGGCTCAGTGTAAGCAAATCTGGATTCCACTCTGTAGCACTGTTTTGCTCCTGAAGGCTTTCAGCACTGATGGGTGGGGTGAATATGGTGGCACCCCACTCTCTAGCCCCAAGCTGGAAGTTTGCACCCCCCATTCTTCAGTGAGCCTTCATAGAAAAGCAACCAATCACTCTTGTCTCCCTGGTTTCCGTCAGAACTCAGTGTTCACCTGCCCTGTGACTGAGTTGTTTTTATCTCAGGCCTGTGACTAAATTTCAAAACCCCCAATTTTATGGATTCCTGTGGAGTAGACCTCCACTGTTCCTCTTGGGGGAGGGAGGAGGGTCTCACTACCTTCTGCCTTTTGCTGGACCCCTCCCAGGAAAGTGATTGTGCAACCATGTAACAGTTCACAGTTTATGGCAATGTAGAGCAGAAAGACAGCACCTAGACTTACTGTTTTCAGCCTGCTTCCCCACTCCTACATCTGTGAACTCTGCCCCACTCAGGCACGCCCCATTCTTCTTCTGACCCTGGGGTCCTGAGACAATGCTGTCACATTCTGGAATGTTTCACCACCTAAGCACCTTTAAGCCAGGACATCCCCACTGTAGCAGACTTCTAAGAGTTCCAATTCTGCACTCCACTATTTATAATACTTTGCAGTAGCCTCTGTAAGCAGACTCCCTCCTCTATGCCATATCCTCAGCTGTATCACCCCTGATTCAAGTCTCTGCAGTTCCTACCTTCCAAAAGGTAGATGGCTCTTCTACTTGTAGACTTGCAGCATTTCTTTTCTCAGATCTCTGATTGATTTCTCAGGTATTCAGAATGATTTGATAACTAGCTAGCTGTATTTGAGGGATAAGACTTAGGGTCCCCTGCTCCTCGACTATCTTAATTCATCCTTTCCACTTTTGTTTTTTAAAAGATGGGGCAGCGGGAGGCGGGGAAGGTCTCAAGTAGGCTCTACACCTAGCATGGAGCCCAATGTGGGGCTTGATCTCACAACCTGAGATTATTACCTGAGCCGTTATCAAGAGTCAGATGTTTGGGGTGCCTGGGTGGCTCAGTGGGTTAAGCCTCTGCCTTCAGCTCCCGTCATGGTCTCAGGGTCCTGGGATCAAGCCCCGCACTGGGTTCTCTGCTCAGCAGGGAGCCTGCATCCCCCTCTCTCTGCCTGTCTCTCTGCCTACTTGTGATCTCTCTCTCTCTCTCTCTCTCTGTCAAATAAATAAATAAATAAATAAATAAATCTTTTTAAAAAAGAAAAGAAGGGTGCCTGGGTGGCTCAGTGGGTTAAAGCCTCTATCTTCAGCTCAAGTCATGATCCCAGGGTCCTGGGATCGAGCCCCGCATTGGGCTCTCTGCTCAGCGAGGAGCCTGCTTCCCCCACCCCTTACCTGCCTCTGTTACTTGTGATCTCTCTGTCAAATAAATAAATAAAATCTTAAAAAAAAAGAGTCAGATGCTTAACCAATTGGGCTCCCTAGGTGTCACTAAATCATTTTTTTTTAATTAACATATAATGTATTATTTACTTCAGGGGTACAGGTCTGTGAATCATCAGTCTTACACAATTCACAGCACTCACCATAGCACATACCCTATCCAATGTCCATAACCCAGTCACCCTATCCATTCCCCCTTAACCCCCAGCAACCCTTAGTTTGTTTCCTGAGATTAAGAGTCTCTTATGGTTTGTCTCTCTCCCAATCCCATCTTGTTTCATTTAAATCATGTAACTTTTAATACAGGATAGCAAGTCTTTTTTTTTAATTGTGACAAACATGCTATATTAATCTAAGATATCAACAACAGAGGGTACTGATATGGGTATTTGGGAACTGTCTGTACTATTCTGGTACTAATTCTATAAATCTATTTATTTATTTACTTTTTTAAAAATTTCTTTTCAGCGTAATAGTATTCATTGTTTTTGCACCACACCCAGTGCTCCATGCAATACGTGTCCTCCTTAATACCCACCACCTGGCTCCCCCAACCTCTCACACCCCGCCCCTTCAAAACCCTCAGATTGTTTTTCAGAGTCCACAGTCTCTCATGGTTCACCTCCCCTTCCAATTTCCCTCAACTCCCTTCTCCTCTCCATCTCCCCATGTCCTCCATGTTATTTGTTATGCTCCACAAATAAGTGAAACCATATGATAATTGACTCTCTCTGCTTGACTTATTTCACTCAGCATAATCTCTTCCAGTCCCATCCATGTTGCTACAAAAGTTGGGTATTCATCCTTTCTGATGGAAGCAATTTTTTTTTTTTTTTTTAGATTTTATTTATTTATTTGACAGGTCACAAGTAGGCAGAGAGGCAGGCAGAGAGAGAGGGGAGGAAGCAGGCTCCCTGATGAGCAGAGAGCCCGATGCGGGGCTTGATCCCAGGACCCTGGGATCATGACCTGAGCTGAAGGCAGAGGCTTTAACCCACTGAGCCACCCAGGTGCCCCGCAAGTCTTTTTTTTAAAAGTCTTCTTGGCTCTTCTTCTTTCTCTTCTGATAAACTTCAGAATAATTTTGTCCAGTTTCCTCAAGACTGAGAGGCAGAGCTACG